CATATTTGCAAGCATGGATAGAAATGTATCCTAATCCCAAACCTTGCAGCTGGTTTCTAGCATCATAATATGACTTAGGAAGTGTCTCACCATTTGGCAGTTCCTCCCGTAGTAACTCTAGCAACATATCAAATGACTTATTACTCCAATGATTGTACACTTTCAAGTGTAGCAACTTCACAAGGAATGAAAGCTTTGAGAATTTCTGACATCCCGGGTATAATTCATGTTCAGCTTCTTCCAACAATTTGTCAACCTTTTTGGCTTCCTTCTCACTCATATTACCATATATATTATTACCAGTTGTTGTCTCCTCCGAAAAATTGGTAAATGATCTTCCACTGGCATCTTCTAACGTAGCGTTAATTCCATCATTGTTGTCATGTTCTTCATCTTCATCTTCGTCTTCGTCTTCGTCTTCATCTTCGTCTTCGTTGTAAATTGCTTCATCTTTATCTCTCCTTTGTGAATGTTCCCCATGGTATATCCATTGCACGTAACTTCCCGTAATTCCTTTTATCAACAAGTGGTCATACACTACATCTTGTATTTGAAAATCTATATTTAAACAGTCTTGGCATGGACATCGAACTTTAGAATTTCGATCAAAGTTTGACCGAACGAGTTGCATAAAAGATTGAACACCCTCAATATATTTTTTAGAGAACTTCCGTTCATGCATCCAACCTTTATCCATGATCAACTGCACAAACATATCGACAAAGCAAGCTAAGTCAGCCATGCAGTTATAATTGAGTTTTAATTAAGCAAAAGAGAAATGCATTTATTATCTTTCAACATGTCATAAAACTTCTGCTGAGAGAATTGGCCACACAATTCCGTTTGATCCAAACTGTTCCTTCATGTCTAGAATAGCTAATAGAACTGTTAGTTAGCTAATTACATTGGATTAGCATTAGTAATAAATAGTTAGCTAAATAAATTGAGCCTGTGTATATACACCATTGTATAGCACTTGGGAGTATCAATCAATGAACGAAATCCTATTTCTCACTTCTCTCTGTTCCATTCCCTCTTCTTCTCTCTATTCTCTAATCCCCCTTTCCCCTTCTAATGCTTTTCTTAGTGAAGGCAGTCCCTCGTTCCAGTGATATTTGCTTGTCCACTGATTTCTTAAAATTTAATGCAACATATGACTTCCTAATTTATCGTTTTCCTCTGAATCCCAGCCCAAGTTAAGTAAATAAGTACCCATCTATCCACATACAAAAAATCAAACTTCAATTCATTCTTATGACAAATCAATTCATAAATCAAAACTCAGTATTCGGATGTTAAGAATTAAATAGAGAGGAGAAGGCAGCGATAGAAATAAAATAGGAGAATTTACCAGAGTAGTCTGATAGCGAACAAGGGGATTACCAAGAGCAACGAGATGCAGCGTCAGGAGAGGGCTGCAGCGACAATTCTTTTTTTTCTTATAAAAAGGACGGACGAGGGGAGATGTTGAGGACTTGCGGTAACAATTCCTTGTTTGACAAAAAGAGTGACCAACAGATTTTTTTATAAAAATAGAAGAAAAAATGTAATCCATAACCCAAGCAGATTGGAACTCCAATTAAAGTTTATGGTATCAAAGTTTGTAGAAGAAAAATTAATCAATTATGCTCAACTTGCTCATATGCGGAAAAGTGAACAAAAATATATATTTGTATATTTTCATTCATGCTATATTTATACAATACTTGAGGTGTTCATTGTTCAATCTGATTCAATTTTTTACCTAAAAAGCAACTAAATCAACAAAGTTAATTTTTTGTTAATTTTTATTTGGTCTTTTAATTTTCCCTATGATAATAGGCTAGATTCATGTAATTTGGCGACTGTTTATGCCCCAGCTTAATTATGTTTCACTGTTATTTTATATGAGTGTTCAATCACGTTTTATATGGTGATTAATTGAATGGGCCCTTGATTAATCGTGTCTAATTATCTCATATTGCTTGAGAAAGAATATTAGGTTAGACTGCTATTGAACAACACCACTTTTAGGTAATTGAAGAGATTCATTACTTGAACTAAAGGTGAGTTTAGAGATAACGAAACTTTGGTGGGATAATTTAGAGCTACACATATTGCCAGCTAGAGTAGTTCGAGAAAATGCTCTAGTAAATTATCGTAGTTGATCGAGAGAAAATTACGATAACTCATGTAAGCACGTGATTTTTGCCCTATATGAGAATTACTCCCAAAAAATTCAAAAATAAAAT